AGAGAGAGAGAGAATGTGTCAAACAAAATATGGTTATTTTCTAACAAAAAAATATATATATTTTTTTTTTTTAATAGAAAAGCTAGTTCATGCAAGTGGAGCAAATGAGAAACAGAAAAATGTGGAGTAGAGCCAGACCACATGGATTATAGAATGTTTGTCACTCAAATTATAGAACGCAATGGCTCCTTTTAGAAATACTTTTTGTTTTTAACAATACAAAATGGCTGAATTAAACCGAAATAAACAAAAATATGATATGATACATACACTACAGTTCAAAATTTTGGGTCCTGCAAATTTTCTATAAAGAGTTTTCAAATTATGTTATTAACACAGATAATAATAATAATCGTTTCATTATGAAGAATCATGTGACACTGAAGACTGGAGTAATGGCTGCTGAAAATGTAGCTATGCACCACAGAAATAAATTACATTTTAAATATATTCAAATATAAAAAGTTATTTTAAATTGCTATACAATATTACTGTTTTACTGTATTTTTGCTTAAACAAATGCAGCCTTGGTGAACAACTTTCAAAAACATAAAAAAAAATATGAAACTGAACAATAATGTATAATAATAATCATGACATCTATAGATATATATATAAATGATATTGCAGTCTACACAGTTAAATATTGCCTGTGTAGTTAAAAAAAAAAGAAAGAAAGAAACTACTAATATATATAATCCATTCAGCCTACTATTTTATTCCAGCCATCTCCTGGTCAAGAGCTTCTGGAAAAAAAGGGGTTTATAGTTTAGGTTATGCTTTGAAGTTTAATGGTGCTATGCTCAAATCTTTAGCAATAATCACTAGCAATAGCGTAAACGACTGCAAGTTGTAACTCATTTACGTAATAACTAGGCTAAGTCATAACCTACATACAGCTGGTGCAAATGGCCACAGTTCTTTATACACAAGGGTTGGACCTGCTCTTGACCTTGGTTATTTTATAATTGAGCATCAAAGAAGAGCTATTTCTAACCTCTCTGAGGGCGTTCATTTCAAATCATTCATACACACTTTCTCATTAAAGCCAAGCGCCGAGAGAAAAGCAATGTTCATTTTCTGATATTGTACATCTGCTGTCAGAGGACGGCACTTAATGATCCACTGAGGGTAAACAGCAATTGTAATCTTATCTGAGATGAAAATCGCAGTCATTCACCTGTCTCTGCACCTACAGTCTGTTTCACAGCTTACTGTAAAGGAGGAGCTTTGTTTGCTGCAATCCAAGAGTTTAGTTGATAGCACATGTATGACACTCACATCCTGGAAGTCAGACCACTTACATACGCCTGAGATGGCATCATTAAAGAAAAGTATTGCATGTGTCAATCTCTTATAACAAAGGGTTGCTGGCGTTATCTTATCTGTCAGACAGTTTGAAGAGAAAAACAGGAAATATAATTTTAAAAAAGTGTCGCATTTGGAAACTTACGTGTGAGGTCTCATTTTGCAAATAAAGCCAAGCACTGTGACATAATTACAGCAAAGTCCATTAGCTCTAGCTCAAAGTAGTTGTTCTATGAAAAGTGTTTGAGCCAAAGAGAAATGAGCATTAAACAGGTCAGGGGTACAAATATGGTCATGGTGTTAGTGCCTGGCATCAATCTAAACAGTGCTTTTGCACTTTCTTGATCTCTACAAATGTAACGTTTAGTGAAACACAACATAAATAGCTCTCAAATGTGTGTTTAATTGTCTGACAAGGTTCAATTAACCTGAGGACACTGCAAATCTATTCGCATAAACTGTAATACAGTACTTGAATAATAAACGCACTGTTAAAAATATTTTCCAACAGTGTCCAATTAACAATCACAACAGTGTTAAGAAAATCTATCTGGCATGCAGACAAATGATACTTGAATACTTGATTTTTTTTTTTTTATGTGTTGCTTAAAGTGACATTTGTCTTTAATATATATCAGTTTGAAGAGAAAAACAGGAAATATAATTTTAAAAAAGTGTCGCATTTGGAAACTTACGTGTGAGGTCTCATTTTGCAAATAAAGCCAAGCAAGTGACATAATTACAGCAAAGTCCATTAGCTCTAGCTCAAAGTAGTTGTTCTATAAAAAGTGTTTGAGCCAAAGAGAAATGAGCATTAAACAGGTCAGGGGTACAAATATGGTCATGGTGTTAGTGCCTGGCATCAATCTAAACAGTGCTTTTGCACTTTCTTGATCTCTACAAATGTAACGTTTAGTGAAACACAACATAAATAGCTCTCAAATGTGTGTTTAATTGTCTGACAAGGTTCAATTAACCTGAGGACACTGCAAATCTATTCGCATAAACTGTAATACAGTACTTGAATAATAAACGCACTGTTAAAAATATTTTCCAACAGTGTCCAATTAACAATCACAACAGTGTTAAGAAAATCTATCTGGCATGCAGACAAATGATACTTGAATACTTGATTTTTTTTTTTTTATGTGTTGCTTAAAGTGACATTTGTCTTTAATATATATGTAATAAATAAATCAATTCAACCAGCCTGAACTGATTTGGTGCTCTTACCCGATCTGATCAAGTCTCTTGGTTCTAAATGGTTTTGGGACACTTTTCAGCAGGTCAAGCCCAAAGACCACCATGCCAAGCACTGAAATCAGCTAAACACCAGCTTGGCCATTCTGAGAGATCGGCTTAAACCAGCTTATACCAGCTTTGACTAGTATCTAATATTTCAATAGCAATGTTGCATTAGACAGAAGTAATTAAAGTTGTTGCTGCAACACAATAGCTGGACTTTGATAAGGACGTGACTGGGACTAAATTGAATGAAATCAAGTACAGTGAACATCCGTAACTAACTATACATCAAAACCCCTCCCCTTTCGGTGGGGCACCACTGACAAAACCACACCTTCTAAGGGTCAATGGTGCATTTTCACCACCTTTATAACAGCCAGCACATTCGAACCCTTCTCATTGTCCTGAGGTAGACCCACCTCAGCTCAACACTAGAGGACTCTTTAGAGACACTGGGAGAGACACTATGTCAGGGGACGCGTACCTGAGGTTGCTCTCTATAGTAGCCTATTTATGTGTTCTCAACACTGAGGCTTATTCAGGGTAGGTTTTCTTTCTATCACTCTTATATTGTGTTTAACAAAGCTGAGTTTCTTAACATTTATTAACATTCCATTCATCACTTGCAGAGGTTTTCCACTCACTCTTCCTGACTGGAGATCAAATGCAGGTAAGAACTACACCAGCACAAATCCAGATGCCTCACTTCCATAAGGTTATAATTTTAGGGTGGTAACACTTGAAGCCTTTAAATATGGTGCATTATAAAAAGCATTTTTAATGCATTAGTTATGCCTTGTAATGCACAATATAATGAGTTCTATGAATAAGTTTAGTCATTAATGTTTTAAAAATATATTTTTAAAATATAATATTACATTGTTAATATTGTATAATAGAATATAATATACATTATAATATTTATGTATGCATTATTACACCTTTAGAAAATATATTGCATTAAAACATAATAACCAATTTCAGATGTAACAAAGAATCTGCAAATATTATAAGGCATTTTTAACTTACAATATTTATGAAAAGATAGCTTTAAGTGTTACTGAATGTATAATGCATTATGCAGGTATTCATAATGTATGTTATAATGCATTATATATATTTTATAAATTATGTGTAACCAAAGTTAAAATGCATTATAATACATGAAGGGCTGTTTGTGTTTTAATGCATTATACATTCTAAATGTGTAACAATGAATAGGTAAGTGATATAATGTATTATAACAGTGGTTAAAATTACTCATAAAATAGTACAATGCATTATGATGTGCATTACAAGGCATAATTAATGTAACACTTATAATGCATTATATAGAAAAGCTTTAAGTAAAGTGTCACCAACTTCTGTGGTACTGAAAAGAGGACCTGTTAGAAACCATGCTATCAAACTCTGATGAGTTGTAAACCTTTTAGTCTTCTCTAATAGAAGCACTCGCACCGGTATGACCAATTTCTCACAAGAGTGACTGCGGACACGATCATTTGTTATAACAATCCAAACAGAACTATGTTTTCGGTTTCTTTCTTGTTTTCGATTAGGTTCTTATTCTCATTCCACTTTTCTTTTTTATTGTCCTTTAATCACTTTTCCCTCCTGTGCTGTAGATTATTTCGCAAAGTGTGATTTTGGCAGTGATTTGCCGGCATCCTGCGATTGGACCTCTGAGGGACCCATCAGTGCTCAGACAGCAACAGGTAATTATACTGCTGAGACGAAATTGCTGCAGAGACAGTAACTGCTTTGTGTTTACAACCAATCCATTCACCTGCGGCAACAACAACAGCAGTTAATAGGTTTCTAACAGCACGTAGCAGAGCTTCTTTAAACTTCTTTTTCCTCAAATTACGTTATTCAACTTGACTTTCAAGTACGCTATTCACCGCATTCAACCACTTGTGTGAACAAGACATTGGTCGACACGCTACACTGTAAGAATTCGCAAAACACAAAGTATATGTTTTCGGTTTCTTTCTTGTTTTCGATTAGGTCCTTATTCTCATTCCACTTTTCTTTTTTATTGTCCTTTAATCACTTTTCCCTCCTGTGCTGTAGATTATTTCGCAAAGTGTGATTTTGGCAGTGATTTGCCGGCATCCTGCGATTGGACCTCTGAGGGACCCATCAGTGCTCAGACAGCAACAGGTAATTATACTGCTGAGACGAAATTGCTGCAGAGACAGTAACTGCTTTGTGTTTACAACCAATCCATTCACCTGCGGCAACAACAACAGCAGTTAATAGGTTTCTAACAGCACGTAGCAGAGCTTCTTTAAACTTCTTTTTCCTCAAATTACGTTATTCAACTTGACTTTCAAGTACGCTATTCACCGCATTCAACCACTTGTGTGAACAAGACATTGGTCGACACGCTACACTGTAAGAATTCGCAAAACACAAAGTACAGATCAGAGTCTAACTTGTGGCACATGTTGGCTTGGAATCTGCAAGCAGGTGATTTGATAATTATTTATGACTGCATGCTTTTAGAGGTCAGTCTATGAACTATATGCAAGAATATAAGAGCAAACTCATTGTGTTTTGAGAAAAAAAATATTCATAGTTCTGTATTCTGTACAAGACAGAGCTCTTTTTGGAGCTTTGTACTACTTATAAGAACAGGGACAAGTAACAACAAGCCAGATTCGAACTTGCACAGTTCACATAAGCACCAGAGCGCTATGTATCAGGATACATGTTACCCACAATCACAGCGTTAAAACTGAATCAATTATTGATTATTGTTATTACAAAAGTGTAAATTACAAACTTGTGAAGGCTTACATTTTTATAGAAAACAAAAACTGACAAGACGGACATCATTTCAGCAGCTCTCTTGCAAATCATTTAAATTTACACTTGTTTTGTCTTTTTGTCTATGTGCTACAGAGGAAACATCTCTCCATCCTGAGAGTCCATCTGGTGTGTTTCACCTCAAGAGTGGATTTCTTAAGATCTCAGAAGACTCCTGTCTGGAGTTCTGGTACCATAAACCTAACAAGAAAAATTCTGAACTCAAAGTTTTGCTAGAGGGTGATATTCTGCAAACATTGATTTGGACCTCAGAGACATCTAGCATTGGAGACTGGAGACAAGTCTTCATCCCTCTCAAAAAGCAGTCTGACAAAGACAACATCCAGGTACAGCCATTTAAATATTCATATTTAGGTTTTGGGCATCTTTGTGGAGAAAGATAGCAGATAATATTAAAAGGTCATTTAAAAAAAAAAAAATTCCATGTGTTTTAACTGTGTATCCAGAAAGTTAGAACATTTTGCAGCCAATGAAACCAACAAAACAATGAATTATCATGCCGGCGGAAACAAATTATTCTAGCATTCATAATCTGCTGTTGTCCAATGAGCTTCAAATTTCTAACCTTTTAATTTGTGCAAAAATCTAAAAAAAAATTTAAAAAAACATATTTGTGGTTTTTGTTGCAAAAATTTTTGGATAAGCAATACAGATACAAAAATAACTCCATGCAGTTCACCAACGGAGACTGATTAAGTAGGAAGTAACCCCCTTGAAAAAACTCCAGAATTGTACTTCTAGACATATGCATTGTAAGTTAAGCTGTTTGCCATCTAAAAACACAACATAAATTTCTGTAAGTTGTTTGATAAGAAAGCATCTGTGAAAATAATGAGCACAATAGTAATTGTAGTAATTTAAAAACGTTCGTGTCTTGAGTGATGAACATTTTGCAGGCACTGACGAATCACTATTACTCCCTGCAACTGTAATTGTGTTCTCTGGCAGGTTGTTTTTGAGCTATTAAAAGGTCTGCAAGACGATGAACAAACTGCCTTTGACAGAATAGGAATATGGAAGGGACAATGTGGTAAGTGACATAAGATTATTATTATTTTGACCTAGTACATCACTTACCAACATACAAACACCCTTAAGCTAAATTCACCAGATTTATTGGCCTTTGGGAAATAGTAAAGTGTTAATATATCATCCACAGGGCCACAATGTCAGCGAGGAGGCACATTTTGGACTGATAAAAGCACTCGCTGCACTTGCACTGATGAGCAACTCATCTGCTCTCACGTCCCTCGGTCCAAAGATACTTTTGGCACCTGCCATGTGGCCTCTGACCCACACTACACTACTTTTGATGGGGTCAGCTTCCAATTTGAGAGTCCTTGTACCTACGTCTTGTCAAAGGTCTGCGATGACTCAGGGTTGCTTCCTGAGTTTGCAGTTGAGGTGCAAAATGAGAATAAAGGGGACTCGCACATATCCTCCATTCAGCAAGTGAACATCAATATACATGGTCTGAGAGTGACCATGGTGAGGGCAGAGAGGAGAAAAGTCATGGTAGGCTGTCAGCCACAATGAATGATGATTAGATATAACATATTTGTATTTTGTCTTAAGCAATAACTCACGCAAAAATGAAAATTTGCTGAAAATTTACTCACTCTCAGGCAAAAATGTAGAGGAGTTTGTTCATTAGATTAGATTTGGAGGACTGTAGCATTACATCACTTGCTCACCAATGGATTCTCTGCAGTGAATGGGTGCCATGAGAATGAGAGGCCAAACAGCTGACAAATACATCACAATAATCCACAAGTAATCCACATGACTCCAGTCCATCAATTAGCATCTTGTAAAGTGAAAAGCTGTGTTTTAAGAAACAAATCTATTAAGGTATTTTAACTTTAGACCCTCACTTCTGCCACTTAAACCATTCTGATGGCGCCCATTCACTGCAGAGGATCCATTGATAAGCAAATGATGCAATGATGTAAATTATGCTAAATTCCTCCAGATCTGTTCAAATGAAGAAATAATCTCATCTACATCTTGGATGGCCTGAAGGTGGACAAATGTTCATTTTTATGTGAACTACTCATTCAACCACTTTCCACTGTTGTCCTAATCAGGTTAATGGGATTTGGAAAAATCTCCCTCTACTCCTGCAAGGAAACAGAGTTACGGTTAATGCCCAGGGAGATGCTTTGGTCCTTCAGACAGACTTCAAACTGTCCGTCTTCTACTTGAGATCCGGTGCTGTTCAGGTGATTGTCCCCAGCCATTACTCAAACAGAATCTGTGGCATGTGTGGCAACTTTAACCACGAGACAGAAGATGACATCAAGATCCCAGACAGGTCACTGATGCAGGACGCGCATGTTTTAGGGCAGAGCGTGTGTGAGGAACCCACCCTCCCCAGTGTCTGTACAGATGCAGAGGAGCAGAAGTACGCCAGCGAGGTTTACTGCGGCATGCTAACATCCAGACAAGGGCCATTCTCAACGTGCTCATCTGTTCTGAATGCAGATAGTTTCTTCCGAAGCTGCATGTTTGATATGTGTACAACTCACGGAGATCCCGCAGACCTCTGCAATGCCATTGAGGCCTTCAGTGCCACCTGCGACAAAGTTGGGATCTCTGTTCTGGCCTGGAGGAACACAACATTCTGTCGTATGTACTTAAAATGTCCTAAAATTATCTATAAAAAGAACATTCTGGTCATAAACTCGACTGTATTGATCGATAAAGAATGTGTCACAATAATGCACCCGCAATGGAAGTCTATGAGGCTTTTTTTGGCCATGATTTATGCAGTTTAAAAAAAAGTTTATTATTTGATCTGTAAAGTTCTCCTTTTTAAATGGACTTTAATATGTGAATGAACATTTGATTATGCATTACTAATGCAATTTCTGATGGTGGAGTTTGGTCCATGTAAAAAGTGCACCAGGATTAACCAATATTATGGTCGATACTGATAAACCAGTAATTACTTTTGGGTGATGACCAATAAATATCGGACATTAAAAATTACTTCATTTGAAAAAATTACTACATGTGAATTTTAGGCATCACATTATGATGTATAATACGAAATATAGACAAATATTCCTTTTGAAATCTCCTATAGAACCACAATTATTATTCAGGCTCTGGCGGTCCATCACAGTTCCATAACGAACCGAAAATATTTTTACACTTGTCTTAACATTAAAGACATTTCTTTGGCAAAGCATCTGTAAATTGTGATATGGCTTAGTGAGGTTATTTAAATAGCAAAATGTTGCAATTGAATTAAATAAGTATTTTGTCTGCATGTTTTAGAGTGAAACGCATAACTGTGTTGATGCAAGCAGCTCATGGTCCAGTGTTTCAACGTCTCAGTTCACAGCGAACTCAATATTTGAATGTGCTGGTTACTATTTTTTTTAAAAACACTAAATAATATACCCATAATTAAATATTCATTTGTAATTAATTTACAGTGTAGTTGAATTATAATATTAAGATAATATTAATAATTTTACTCTAAAAATGCACCAGATTGATGCATTTAACTTTAAAATATCAAAAATGTTCTTGTCCACCCCCCTATAGTCTCACAAATCCTGGGTTAAATCTTTGCCATAATATATTGTTATCCCTTCAAGTTTGTAATATAACCCTTTAAATCTCAAAAATAAGCATCAAGAAGTATATGTGAAACTGGCCTTGAACTCTATCAAAATGCATCTGACCTTCAATATTAGTTTAAAGCCTTAGTATCTCCTCTCCACCCAAATCTATGAAACAATAGAGACAAGCGATTCAAGTACTGCCAGTATTATTACGCTAATCATAAATATAAATTAAGGCTTGACATGTCAGATCAGACTACCTGATTTGAGCCACTGTTGAGCAAATGGCCTATCTCAGACCTCTCTGTAATCAGTAGTGCGGTCTCCACCTAACAACCCACACAGAAGTACTAGACATAGTCACTGGTTATTAATTAATCATCTCCCACACCTTCACCAGCTGACCCGTAACTTTCCATTACAAACCACAAAGGCACTGAGAAACATATTGTGAATCTATAAGTCAGATTGTTTATGTTTGATTCTTCGGGTTTCTGTTTTAGCTGTGGTGTGTGGCCCTCACAGCCACTATAACGCCTGTGCCAGCGGCTGCCCTAAGACCTGCTCCAGCCAGGATGCTACAGGGTCTTGTGGGATATGTGAGGAGCGCTGTGAGTGTGACGATGGCTTCATGCTCAGCGGAGGAGCATGTGTATTAGCTGAAGACTGTGGATGTTGGGCTAATGGACAGCATTATTTGGTACAGTAGCTTAGCAATCTTATTGTTATCATCACATCATTATAGATAGATAGATAGATAGATAGATAGACAGACAGATTTAAGCTCTTAATTTAACTTTAAAACGTACAAAATTCTCTTCCAGAATTCAAGTTTTATATATTTTGTAAAATTCGTTGTTTTTGTTTTTTTAAATGTTACGCATGCATATACAAACAATTCAGTTAAAGCATCAGTAAACTATTATAGAATTTTTGTTAATACACATCATATTTTACTAAAATATTTCTGTATATTTTACTAAAATAGTATAGTTAATCTTTCTCTTCCTGTCCTATCTAGATCAGAGAGACATTTATGGAGGGTGAATGTGAGCAACAGTGCCAGTGTTTGGGCAATGGGAACATTCAATGTTCACCTACATCCTGCAAAGCTGATGAAGTATGCATGGTTAAGGACGGAGTCTTGGGTTGCTTTCCATCCAGCCCGGTGACCTGCAGAGTCTACGGTGACCCCCATTACATCACTTTCGATGGCAAGGCCTACTCCTTCTGGGGCACCTGCAACTACACCATAGCAAAAACCTGCGGGGTTACTGAAACCCAGTTCACAATAACGGCACGAAATGAGGGACAGAACAACTCTGCAACTTCCTCCCTTAATTCTGTAGCTCTTGACATGGAAGGCCTACATATTGTCATCGGAAAGAACAAGCAGGTTTATGTGAGTGACTTGTTTTTGTCATTCATTTGGATTTGACTATACTATCAGTGTGTGTACTGACTTAATGTATTCAGTTACACCACAAACATGCAATGCATATTAAAAAATAGAAAAAAATATTAATTGATTAACCATTTGAGGTATCATTAGTGTACGTACGGCATGAGTTACAAAGGAATCATATCATGAGGAATGAAATCTTGATTCTTGAAATACTATGAAAACATACAAACATTTCAGAACTCAAAACTGCCTAGTCCAAAAAAATTCCAAGCTGCAAAAATGGCAACTTTGTAACACCATAAAGATAAATCCATCAACACATGACCATCCATATTTACACATCAATCTGGTGATTATACGTGTCATCAGAAACTAGAAAGATAGCACCAGAGAACAAGAAAAGCAAACAAATTACTGTGTTAGAGTACAATGAGGGTAAGTTTGTGATGCCTCCTCATTGTTTTCCACGTAGCACTTATCTTCTAATAGTACGCACTTACCACGTAGCACTTATGTACCTAATCATTCATGATATACATGGGCAGTTCATGGAAAGAAATGTGGGCAGGAGCTGCCATCTAAAATATATGACCCATAATTAGTGTTTACAGTAAGTAAAATGTTCATATTTTAAAGGTAACTGATAAGAGACGTGTTTGCTTATGACGTCGCCTGTTATCTTTCAATGATAACATTTGAGGAGTGTCCTGATAGTGACTTCTGCTTCACATAATAAGGCCTCTGGCAAAGATATGTAGCTGCAGTACTTCAGATCTAAACTGGTCGCATTTTTTAACCAAAGTATTCATCACCATGTTATGAGTAACATGACACTCTTTGGCCCTCACACTGAAGATAAAACAATGTGCCAACAAATGAATGACCCAGTTTTAATTTTACAAATCTAAACATATTTTTATGATTTAGCATGATGATTTGGGATAGTAATCAAATATCCCTTATCAAACATTTACTAAAATAGTTTCTAGCAGAATACTAAACTTACTCTAGTTATTTTTTACTACAATACAACTGTGCCAACTTGGCATCAGCTGCCAGAAACATAAATAAATAAATAACAGAAAGATTTTGAAAGCACTGGTTTGAAGAAGATTACACTACTACAAAAAATGTATCATGATATCATGGTAGTAACAGGATGAATCATGTTTTGGCAGAATCTATGGCTACCATAGTAAATTTCGTATACCTCCTTTCCCCAGTCTCAAAACCTGAACCTCACAAAAACTCTTTCAAAACCAGTATGTAATCAATGTAAAATCTCAATGTAAAAATGTAAAGAAAAAAAATAAGACATTATATTTTGCTTATAGCTTATTGTAGGACCATTGAAGGTTTTCCATAGTTACATACATTTTAAGACATTTACCTCAAAATATCATTATTGTAATACAAAAGTCATTAAAAAAGCTGCATAGGGAAACAAAAACTGCAGTATTATAGTATAAATAGTAGTAATAGTAGTTACAGTAAACTGAATTTAAAATACAGGCAATTTAAGTATACCGATAGATAAATAGATAGACAAAAGCACATCAAAAATGTAAAATATCTGCCTAAATTAATGCTGATTAATTACTGAACATAAGATAATCAATAAAAAAATATATGTACTGTAAATAAATGTAAATCGTAACGGTCCTAATCTAGGCCTCATTTCCTCGAAAGGTTTGATGACATACTGTATACTCAAAAAGTTCCTTACCTTGACACATATGTTTTTCTTCACTCCAGGCAAACGGTGGTCAGGTTCGCCTCCCGGCGGAGTTTGGTTCCTCTGTGTCTGTGTTTCAGTCGGGACCCTACGCTCAGGTTAATACAAACTTCGGTCTGAGGCTGCTGTTTGGAAACGCCAGGCTGTTCGTCCAGGTGGATGAACGCTACAGAGGAGTATTGTGCGGCCTGTGCGGTACCTACTCCGGGAGTCAGTTTGACGACTTTCTGACACCCGACGGCAACACAGTGGCGAATCCGCACGAGTTCGCCAGCAGCTGGAATACCGACGACAGCGATTGGCCGTAAGAGTTTGGAATCCTCACAAAAATTATATTGATTCCTAAAATATAAATCTGAATTGATAAAGATAGACAAACAAACTGATATTGTGCAATGATACTGACAGATGTTACACCTCAGTGATTTAAAGGATTATTACTCAACTCAGACACCAAATTGAAATAAAATTCGTGTTGACAGTTCTGTAAAATGAGCAGACTGAAAGTGATGTTGTTACTCTCTACAAATGACATCCACTCTTGCTCTTCTTCTTGGCGTGTTTATGAGAGTTCGCAAGCCGCTTCGTGAACGAGTCATTCTTTTTTCAGTCGGATCTTTTCAATGGCTGATTCTTTTCACAAAAATTCGAATGTTCGAATGATTCAGTTCACGAAGCGACTCACTGACTCACCGATCCAGTGTTATGGGAAATAGGAAAGTAGCAGCAGCCTAACTGAATAATGGAATGTGAAATACAAAGGGGCAAAAAGCTTTGGCACACTATTAAAATTAAGTAATTTGTTTTGTTTTGTTTTGTTTTTTTATTTTCTGTGATAAAAAGCAACATTGTAATATCAAATAAAGACATAATATGTCTTTTTTTATACCTTTTTTCCAGTTGCAGTAATGGCTCTCCAGACCCCCCTGAGTGTCATCCAGACCTGGAGAATGATGCATATACAAAGTGCAGTGAACTGTTTGAAGATGCTTTCAAAGAGTGCCACTGGTTTGTTCCACCACAGATTTATGTCAGCAGCTGCGTTTCTGATTATTGTATTTCCAAGGGTGACAAAGCTCAGCTCTGCACCTCTTTGGAGGACTATGTGTCTGCTTGTGAAATAGCTGAGGTGTTTCTGCCAGACTGGAGGAATCACACCTTGTGTTGTAAGTGATTAGTAAAAAAAAATGATCATAAATATGCTAACTTCATATTTGTCTTATTCAAATGTTTGTCCTATTCAAACAATGAATAAATCGTTTTCATAGATGTTTTTTTCAGTATATTAAATGAAAAAAAAACTCTTTTCTTTTTCCATACAGTTGCCGATCCACTGCCAACAGATGACCCCACACCAACTCCATCTGCAGCAAGTAAGCAGTATTTCTTCTATCTATCTGTCTGTCTTCTTTTTTCTATATTTATTTTAATTCTTTTGTCATTACACAGGTTGCCCATGGAGCTGTAACTTTGACCAGGATGAATGTGACTGGGAACAACTTATCCAAGACAGTTTTGATTGGACCAGATGGTCAGGGTCAACGCCATCAAACTTCACTGGGCCAGCCGGTGACCACACCACAGGAAGTAGGTTTTCTGTGCAAATTGGTTTATACAATCTAAAGTAGACTATGGGATTCTGATGGCATTGGGGAAAACTCAACAAAAACAAAACTGTGTTGACTGCCCTATTCACCTCTCTGACTCTCTGACTGTTTTATATAGGTGGCTATTACATGTATATTGAGGGGGATAGTGTGTTTTATGGCGACTCAGCCCGAATAATGAGCCCCGTCTGCCACACTTCTGGCAAGCAGTGTTTGAGCTTCTGGTTTCACATGTATGGCCTGGCAAATGCTATGTTACTCAACCTCTACATATTTGAGAACAATCGTGCCTTAAAAATATGGTCTAGAACTAACAACCAGGGCAACAGTTGGTACCAAGGCCAGGTTGAAATCAAACCACAACAGCCATTCCAGGTATGTTACTCTATGTGCACATCCCAAGTAGAGTGCGTTAATGTCAATGAATTCAGAGGACAAAAGATGATGTGCTCTAGGCAGATATGTTAAATATGATAAGTGATTGTTTGTTGTTTCAGATCATCATTGAAGGCATCAGGGGCTCAAATCCTCTCTCAGATGTGTCCATAGATGATGTGTCCATAATGCATGGTGCATGTGACCGTAAGTGTTGTAGATATTAATCTATTACAGACTGATCTTTAAAAACAGTTTGAAGCTTTTTTTTTTTGTGGCATGATCAATGACTACTTTCAGTGTTTTTTTTTTTTTTTTTGCTTTGCTAGTCTTAAAAAATACTACACTACTTCAGACTCTACTTCAGAAATGTTGTTGTTAACTGGATATTTATTTATTTTATTTTTATATTTTAAATATAATCTTTTTGTATATTTCAATTATAATATTAAAACAAGCTCCAATTAATTTTATCTCAAAACATTGGCAGATTTGTCTGCAGAAGATTTGGACTTGACCACTCTGGCACCCCATCCATCTACTCCAAACTTAAAGGACCCCCATCCAAGTAAGACTTCCAATAATAATATTAATGTTAAAGTGATGTAAGATCATATATTAACACATTATTCATAGGTAATTGTTCCTGTACGTGTTTTTGTAGTTCAAACTACAGAGGACATGAGTTTGATTCTTATGGAATGCATGAACTGATAAAATGTACAGTATACCTTCAAAGCAATTAAAACATAAAGGTGTCTTGTGAATATAAATGTAAAGTGGATGGATTGTGAAAAGTGGGAGTTACACACAAAACGAGAGAAAATTAAAAGTAACATGGATTTGTGAGATATCAGACATCACTTTATTGTTTTAATGTTTAAAAACACGGTCACATGCATCATCTTGGTGGATCAGAGTATGGTTAACTGCTTGGCATGATGAGTATATGGTTACCTTGTTTTGTCAGATTGCAGGATGAACTGCGATTTTGAAAGTGACATCTGCAGTTGGACTCAAATGGTGACTGATGTTTTTGATTGGACAAGACACAAAGGCTCCACCCCCACATCAATGACTGGTCCCTCCTCTGACCACACAACAGGAAGTAGGTTAATTTCACATATTATTTCACATATTGGTCAAGTTTTTGACCGTTTCCCTAATCAAATGTCTCCTTTTCCTGGTCCAGGTGGGTTTTATATGTACATTGAGGGTGACAGTGCTGTCCATGGCGACACGGCCCGTCTACTCAGTGCAGAATGTGCTGATCCTCAACCTCAATGTCTTCAGTTCTGGTATCACATGTATGGCTCCAGCTGGACCATGGGACTGAGCGTCTTCCTGCTGCAATATGGCAATGTGGCAAAAGAGGTGTGGAGAATGAGAGAAGACCAAGGAAACATGTGGCATCTTGCACGGGTGGACCTGAGACCAGATGTTAAGTTCCAGGTCAGTGAAAGTTTGAAAACTTATGTATCAAATCTTCTCTGAATGCTCCATGGTAAAGTAAATATAAAAACCTTTTTATCAGTTTAATATGAGGTGCAGGCTTTAACTTTTTCTGTATACTGTATTTTAATTATATTTTGCCAAAAAATATAAGAAAAATGTTTAATCAGTTTTATTTAAAAAGAAAACAAATCTCTGTTATTGTTCTATCAGGTGATCTTTGAGGGGCGTAGAGGAAGCTCAGCCTGGTCAGATGTTGCCATTGATGATGTCTCACTGCACAGAGGATCCTGTAGCGGTATGTTTCTACTCTTCCCTTAGTAAAAACATTCAGCTTTAAAAACAGGCCGACTTACTCAGCAGAACGACTTCTTCATTTTGCATGAGGGTTCTTAACTTAATGTGTTAAAAGTTGTAAATATCTTTCAGATTTACCAATCCAGGTGGCTCCACCTTCAGTCCTATTGCCACCAGCTGCACCAATCCAACGTAGAGAAATTCCAAACGCTTCAGCTTGTAAGTTCACTATCCACCACCGCAGTGTGATTACATTCTGTTATGATTGATGATGCCATAAAATAACACTCTCACAACTAATTATCTGCATCTGCCGTTGTTTTCAGAATAAGAATATTGAAACTGTTAATGTAATTTGCTTCTTTCCTCCAGCTTGTGGCATCAACTGTGATTTTGAAAGAGACATTTGTACTTGGACTCAGTTGGCGACTGATGTTTTTGATTGGACAAGACACAGAGGCTCCACCCCCACATCAATGACTGGTCCCTCCTCTGACCACACAACAGGAAGTAGGTCTTCATTTACAGATCTAAGTCATTCTATCATTTTAAGTTTAAAATCATAATTATTTTACATGAATAAATTAATAGGTGAGTTGACACAATTTATTTTGCAGGTGGGTTTTATATGTACATTGAGGGTGACAGTGCTGTCCATGGCGACACGGCCCGTCTCCTCAGTGCAGAATGTGCTGACCCTCAACCTCAGTGTCTTCAGTTCTGGTACCACATGTATGGCTCCAGCTGGACCATGGGACTGAGCGTCTACGTGCTGCAATATGGCAATGTGGCAAAAGAGGTGTGGAGAATGAGAGAAGACCAAGGAAACATGTGGCATCTTGCACGGGTGGACCTGAGACCAGATGTCAAGTACCAGGTCAGTGAATCTTCTTGGAATGCTTTATATGTTAAATTAAATGCAATAAACTATGACTAGAAATATTTGAGCAGTGGCATTTAGGAGGCATAAAAAAATCTGTTATTGGTCTATCAGGTGATCTTTGAGGGGCGTAGAGGAAGCTCAGCCCGGTCAGATGTTGCCATTGATGACGTCTCACTGCACAGAGGAGCCTGTAGCAGTATGTTTCTACTCTGCACTTAGTAAAAACATTCAGCTTTAAAATCAACTCAACTTACTCAGAAAAATGACTACTATGTTTTGCAAAAAGTTTATTTAACTTAATGTTTAAACAGTTGTAAATATTTTTCAGATTTACCAAACCAGGTAGCTCCATCTTCAGTTCCATTGCCACCAGCTGCAACAATGCCACAACCTGCACCCATCCAAACTGCAGAAATACCAAACACCTCAGCTTGTAAGCTCACTATCGGACAACACAGTGTGATCACATTCTGTTATGATTGATGATGCCATAAAATAACACTCACAATTAAATCTCTGCATCTTCTTTTGTTTTCAGAAAGACACAAAACAGCTCTTTGTCAAGTACCTGCATATGTAATTCAATTGTAAATTAAAGAAATTTGCTTCTTTCCTCCAGCTTGTGACATCAACTGTGATTTTGAAAGAGACATTTGTACTTGGACTCAGTTGGCGACTGATGTTTTTGATTGGACAAGACACAGAGGCTCCACCCCCACATCAATGACTGGTCCCTCCTCTGACCACACAACAGGAAGTAGGTCTTATTTTCTAGATCTTCAGCATAAAAATTATAGCAAATTTTGTAACATCACCAAATGAATAGTAGTGTTGCACAAATTCTATGACAATTTCTCTACTCAAGGCTTTTCTTTTCTTTTCTTTTTTTCCTTTTCCAGGTGGGTTTTATATGTACATTGAGGGTGACAGTGCTGTCCATGGCGACACGGCCCGTCTCCTCAGTGCAGAATGTGCTGACCCTCAACCTCAGTGTCTTCAGTTCTGGTACCACATGTATGGCTCCAGCTGGACCATGGGACTGAGCGTCTACCTGCTGCAATATGGCAATGTGGCCAAGGAGGTGTGGAGAATGAGAGAAGACCAAGGAAACATGTGGCATCTTGCACGGGTGGACCTGAGATCAGATGTTAATTTCCAGGTCAGTAAAAGTAAAACTTACTATACATACTAAAACATTAAAAAAACTTTTAAAAACATTTATGTTACTGGTATATCAGGTGATCTTTGAGGGGCGTAGAGGAAGCTCAGCCCGGTCAGATGTTGCCATTGATGACGTCTCACTGCACAGAGGATTGACCAGATTAAACCAACTCATAACCAGTTTAGGACCAGCTTAAAACAGCTCAAACCAGCTAACATGCTTCAAAACATACCTAACCAGCATATGCTGTTTTTTTTTCAATGGGAAAGTCAACTAATTCAGCAAATTAATAGTAGTGTTGCACAAATTCTATGACAATTTCTCTACTCAATGATTTTCTTTTCTTTTTTTCCTTTTCCAGGTGGGTTTTATATGTACATTGAGGGTGACAGTGCTGTCCATGGGGACACGGCCCGTCTCCTCAGTGCAGAATGTGCTGACCCGCAACCTCAGTGTCTTCAGTTCTGGTATCACATGTATGGCTCCAGCTGGACCATGGGACTGAGCGTCTACCTGCTGCAATATGGCAATGTGGCCAAGGAGGTGTGGAGAATGAGAGAAGACCAAGGAAACATGTGGCATCTTGCACGGGTGGACCTGAGACCAGATGTCAAGTTCCAGGTCAGTAAAAGCTTGAGAACTACTGCTTCTGATATTCTGTGAATGCTCCAAGTTAAGTAAACATTCCTAAACTTTTTTTCAGTTTAATATGAGCTGTAGCCTTGAACTTGTATATACTGTATCTTAATTATTTTGGCAAAAAAATGGCATTTAGTAAAGAAAAACCTCTGTAATTGGTCTATCAGGTGATTTTTGAGGGGCGTAGAGGAAGCTCAGCCCGGTCAGATGTTGCCATTGATGACGTCTCACTGCACAGAGGATCCTGTAGCGGTATGTTTCTACTCTGTGACGCAATGTGGCCAAAGAGGTGTGGAGAATGAGAGAAGACCAAGGAAACATGTGGCATCTTGCACGGGTGGACCTGAGATCAGATGTTAAGTTCCAGGTCAGTAAAAGTAAAACTTATTGGTTCTTTGAATTGTACATGTTACATACTAAGCATACTAAAACATTAAAAAAACTTTTTAAAAAATGTATGTTACTGGTATATCAGGTGATCTTTGAGGGGCGTAGAGGAAGTTCAGCCCGGTCAGATGTTGCCATTGATGACGTCTCACTGCACAGAGGAGCCTGTAGCGGTATGTTTCTACTCTGCTGCAGCCCTTAGTAAAAACATTAAGCTTTAAAAATAGACCAACTCACTCAGTAGGACGACGACTTCATTTTGCAAAAGGGTTCTTAACTTAATGTGTAAATATTCAGATTTACCAGACCAGGTAGCTCCATCTTCAGTTCCATTGCCACCAGCTGCAACAATGCCACAACCTGCACCCATCCAAACTGCAGAAATACCAAACACCTCAGCTTGTAAGCTCACTATCGGACAACACAGTGTGATCACATTCTGATTGATGATGACATAAAATAACATTCTAACCATTAATGCTCTACACCTTCCATTGTTTTCAGAAAGATGCTGATGAAATTGTTATTGAAATTCACTTCTTTCCTCCAGCTTGTGGCATCAACTGTGATTTTGAAAGAGACATTTGCACTTGGACTCAGTTGGCGACTGATGTTTTTGATTGGACAAGACACAGAGGCTCCACCCCCACATCAATGACTGGTCCCTCCTCTGACCACACAACAGGAAGTAGGTCTTGATTAACAGATCTTGAGATCTTGAGTTGACCTTCCAAAATATATCAGTTATTTCACATGAATAAATTGATAGTTGTGTTGCACAAATTCTATGACAATTCCTCTCCTTAAGAGTCTCCTGATCCAAATTTCCAGGTGGGTTTTATATGTACATTGAGGGTGACAGTGCTGTCCATGGCGACACGGCCCGTCTCCTCAGTGAAGAATGTGCTGATCCTCAACCTCAGTGTCTTCAGTTCTGGTACCATATGTATGGCTCCAGCTGGACCATGGGACTGAGCGTCTACCTGCTGCAATATGGCAATGTGGCCAAGGAGGTGTGGAGAATGAGAGAAGACCAAGGAAACATGTGGCATCTTGCACGAGTGGACCTGAGACCAGATGTCAAGTTCCAGGTCAGTGAATCTTTTTGGAATGCTTTAAATTTTAAACACGCTAAACTATGACTAGAAATATTTGAGCAGAGACATTTAGGAGACAAAGAAAGATGTGTTATGGATCTATCAGGTGATCTTTGAGGGGCGTAGAGGAAGCTCAGCCCGGTCAGATGTTGCCATTGATGACGCATCACTGCACAGAGGAGCCTGTAGCGGTATGTTTCTACTCTGTGTCGGCACTTAGTAAAATCATTCAGATTTAAAAACAAGTTAACTTGTTTTTAAAGGTTTATTTACTTTATGTATTAACAGTTGTAAATATGTTTCAGATTTACCAAACCAGGTGGCTCCACCTTCAATCCCATTGACAAAACCTGTACCCATCCAACGTAGAGAAATTCCAAACACTTCAGCTTGTAAGTTCACTATCCAGCACCGCAGTGTGATTACATTCTGTTGTGAATGCTGTTGCTATAAAATAACACTCCCACAATTATTTGTTGCATCTTCCATTGTTTTCAGAATAAGAATATTGAAACTGTTAATGTAATTTGCATCTTTCTTCCAGCTTGTGTCATCAACTGTGATTTTGAAAGAGACATCTGTGCTTGGACTCAGTTGGCGACTGACGTTTTTGATTGGACAAGACACAGAGGCTCCACCCCCACATCAATGACTGGTCCCTCCTCTGACCACACAACAGGAAGTAGGTCTTATTTTCTAGATCTTCAGGTCATTCTACCATTTTAACTTCAAAATCATAAGATTAATTATTTTGCATCATTAAATTAATAATTGTTTTGCACAACTTCTTTTCCAGGTGGGTTTTATATGTATATTGAGGGTGACAGTGCTGTCCATGGCGACACGGCCCGTCTCCTCAGTGCAGAATGTGCTGACCCTCAACCTCAGTGTCTTCAGTTCTGGTACCACATGTATGGCTCCAGCTGGACCATGGGACTGAGCGTCTACCTGCTGCAATATGGCAATGTGGCCAAGGAGGTGTGGAGAATGAGAGAAGACCAAGGAAACATGTGGCATCTTGCACGGGTGGACCTGAGACCAGATGTCAAGTTCCAGGTCAGTAAAAGCTTGAGAACTACTGCTTCTGATATTCTGTGAATGCTCCAAGTTAAGTAAACATTCCTAAACTTTTTTTCAGTTTAATATGAGCTGTAGCCTTGAACTTGTATATACTGTATCTTAATTATTTTGGCAAAAAAATGGCATTTAGTAAAGAAAAACCTCTGTAATTGGTCTATCAGGTGATTTTTGAGGGGCGTAGAGGAAGCTCAGCCCGGTCAGATGTTGCCATTGATGACATCTCACTGCACAGAGGAGCCTGTAGCGGTATGTTTCGCCTGGGTCTGGAGGCCCTTAGTATAAACAGCCTAACGTGTTAAGTGTTGTTAATCGATTTAATAGACATATTATCTGAATCCAATACCTAAGGATGCCAGCGAAACCTCTCTCTCTGTCTCTTCAGAGATCACGATCTCAGACACGCATGGAAATTCTGACAGCATAAGCAAAAATAACATGATAAAGCCAATCGAGGAGGTGGCAAAGAAAGAGAGCTGGAAAGCAACAGATGACAAAATCACAGCAAGACGGAGGTAGAGAGCCTTTTTTATATATACTGTATATATAAATTATTTACCATGAATTCAATATGATTATGAATTGATTAACAGCCATGTATATAGGTGAGAGAGTCATTATTAAATACTTTTTTGTAGTGCATGTTACATAGTTATACATTTATGTAAGACATTTTGCTGTATTGCATGTTTTGTTTTAATATCTGTCCTCCTTTCTGCTCATATATAATATATGAGGAAAATTATGCATCTGTTGTTAGCTGTTTGTTTTTTGTTTTTTTGTAACAAACATTACTGACATCAGTTAATTTGCCTATGATCTTTGGTATGCAGGCGGTCCCTGCTGTTTAGGGAACATTCCTGGGCTTGAGATGAAACACTACGAGGCAACCCATTAGCTGAAAGCACCTGTCATTTGTCAGTATGAACCCACTCAACATCATAGCTCATGAACTACTCAGACCAGTTTTAGCAAGATCATTTGCTGTGTAAGTGTTGTTTACCTAGGAAGTATCTCTTATCACCTCTAATGTAGTCATTTCATATTATGATTTACACATAACACCATTGAAAGGTATGGCGTTTTCCTCTAATATCACAGTGGTTTTTCTTCCTCAAGTTCACATGTCTCTTAGCAGAGTAAGCACATTATATTAACTATGAGAATGTCCATACATCCACAGAACATATGAATACTTATTTTAATTTTCAACAATCAATCTATTGTTTTATCATTTATAAAACTAGCTAACGTCTTTTTGCTGAATGTTTTATGTGCATGCATGTTATCTGTGAGTCAGTGTTTTTGTCTTTCATTTAATAAACATTAATTTCATTAAGTAAACCTTCTGAAGGTCCTGTTATTTTTCAACTTTGAATCTTTGTATGATTCTGCACATTATTTAGATGTTGCACAATTGTTTTCCAGCATTCCTGTCATACTTTCAGATTTTAAGTGCAATGAGAAGTGACTTTTATATACAGCAAAACCTGCTTAGCAAGATGCAGATGCAAAACAGTATGTAGCCTCAAGAAATTTCAGCAGCTCTATTTAAACATGTAGTGAAGTGGCAGTAAAGTGAGTTGAGTTGGACACACTTACCTGAACAGGATGAGGGTTTTAGTTGTCCATTTCTGGCTTCTCTTACTGCTTCTGTACCAAAGAAAGAAGAACCTGGCATCAGGTAAGTCAGACACTCTCCAGGTCATCTGCATGTGTACACGTGTTCTGTGAGAAACTACAGGTAGCAATAAACTCACATAAGATAGCCACAAAGTAAAACCTCCCTTTTTGTAATGCAAGACACTCAATTTAGTTTCTCTGACACATCTTTTTTTATACTAGCGGAAAGAACATTTCCAAACCATACATTTAAGTGTTTCCTTTATTATACTGCATCTATTTGAATCTATTTGTGTCTGTAGATTTTTATCTAAAGTAGTAGTATTTCATGTGATTTATGATACCAACATTTTACATAGCTGTGAAATTTCACAATTCTTGATTCCAATTTCGATACCAAAGCAAAAACTGCTAGCCTAGCTATAAATTTCAAACACTATTAAATAGAAAACACTTAAAATGAGAACAACTAAACAAATTACAAGTGATAACAACATAATAGAACAAAGATACAAATGAATCAAACTGGTTTACATTTTTCAGGTATGTATAACAGTAGAAAACAGTACAAAAATGTAATAATCAAATGTAAAACAACATAATCTTTACTGTATAAATTAAATATTAATCCTTATTCAGTAGCACTTACATACACCAAATTCTCCCGTTTTATTCCTATCTATATTCTGTAAATGTCATACATCATTCACCTGGTTTATATAACATTTTATTCCCCCCCAAAAAAGATTTCTTTTTGTCTGTCTTAATGTACTGTGATTAATCCACAGATATTTATTTGTTTATTTGTTTTTTTGTTTAGCATGGACGTCACAATTACATTGGACGAACCATATGCATTTGCTTAAGTGTTTTATCACACATGCTAATATAATATGCATATTATATGTATATATATATATGTGTGTGTGTGTGTGTGTATACATAATTAAAATAGTATTTAAATATTATTGTAAAGTACTACAAACAATCCAATTTGAATTTCTTTGATTTCTTAGATAGCACTAAAATATACAGCAATGAACACAACATAAGGGAAAATTAGGAAAAGAGTTGTGATCATTCTAAGAGCTGAATTCAACTGTGCATTTATCTTGGGTATTTTATCTTTCAGCCCTGTGTTCAGTACCCACAGTGCTCTGCTGCCCTGGCAGAGATGACAACTGCAGACGAGAGTGTTATTGTGATGAGTTCTGCATCATAAACGGAGACTGCTGTTCTGACTACAGTCAGACATGCAATCAGAGTAAGACTAAATACTCTCAACACATTAACACAACACATTAATACAATAAATAATAATTGTCAAAAAATTGATTCTGCATTCAAATTCGAGATAAAGTACTGTAGGTTAACAATTCAAAAAAAAAAAAAAAAAAAAATGTCCAGGTGTTGCTTTGATGCAGATGATTCATTAATTTATTATTTATTGTAACCTTTAACTACATTTTCATACATTAATTAAATAAACAGCTTTAAAGACAGCCGTGTGTTGGTCAATTTGAAAAGTCATTGAAAAGATTTGTCGCTACTTCCATTTCATCGTG